ATAATCAGAGGAGCCAAAAATAAGAAGATTACACAGATTATCTAAAGTGTACTCAAGTAATCTCTATTATTGGAATATTTAATACTCATATTATCCAATAAATCTCCAAACTATCATGTCCATCTGGACTCTGAACTGCTGTGTGTGTGTCTATGTGTGTAACTGAGACCAACAGAAGGTCTGTGTGTGAGTGTGTGCTTGTGCTTCAGTGTTTTCCAAATGAACAGGTAATGCTCCTGTTCTAATCAGCAGCAGCACTGAGCTGTACATGTGACCAGGAAGAGGCTCTCCTATTGGTGGAGAGCGAGCTGAATCACTGTCAGTGTCGTATGCTTCCAACAGTCACATGGACTTCTGAAGATTGTATTTATAGAGTTAAGCGCTAAACGTGACTTTCATATTTAAAGACGGACTGCAAAGAAATCTCCAAAGGTGTACGATCCTCTCCCACACTGAAACTTGACCAAATGTCTGAACAAATATGATGTAAAAAAATGAATGGCCAGGATTAGAAAATAATTACAAAAATCTGCTCAATTTGCCGTGATAACGTAAAGAAAACGCCACTCTAGCCTCCTAATAATGATTTGAGAAAAATGGACATGTTCGTAATGAAATGGGTGCAAAGTCCCTGTACCTCATGTTCCTTCAGGCTCGGTGAGTTACAGATTACATGTAACAAGATTATGTTATCAGGATACAAGAAAAAGGTAACTGTATTCACTGACGGTTAAATACAAAAAATTGGAAATCAGATTACTTGTACATTTAAAAAAAAAAAAGGGGGATTACTAGCAGGATTATAATGTTACAATACATTTTATAAGTAAGATCAACATATCATATGTAGACGTACTGCCTGATTTTGTTGTTGTTGACATTTTCTCTTTTATGTAGTTGCCTGCATTTCATATGAGGTCATCCAAAAGTAAAAAAGTAAAGTAATCAGGTTACACTACTTTTTATATTTATATAGATTTTTTTCTACATGTAACTAGAAACGGAATTTTAAAGTAAACTCCCCGCCAAATGTGCTATTACTGGTCAGCTCCTTAACTCAGGCTGCATGCTTTAAATGTAGCCTCAGATCTCAGTAAGCTGTTCCTTCTCTCTGAGATCTCCACCCATGCTGTGAACTCGTGTTGAAGGAGCCGTTACATCAGCTCTGATCTCTGCTCATAATCAGTCCTGGTTAAAGGTCTCCTCATGCTGCTGACTGCTGACCCTGCTCCCCCCTCGATAACAATCAACCATGTCAACCCCCCACCCCTCAAACCTTCCTTGCCTTTCCACAAACTCATTTTGATACATCCAATAAGATTATCCCTCTTCTCTCCCCTTGTTTCTTCATTTCTCCTGCAGTTTTAATCTTATCTCCTCTCCTTCCCTGCTTTCTTCCCCTCTATCCTCTTTTCCTCTCCTCTCCTCTTTTCATCTCATCTCCTCTCTCCTTTCCCACTTCAGTTTCCTCTCCTCCTTCTTATTTCGGTGTCTCAAAGGTATTCCGATGAACACAGTATTGAATCCCTTCTCACACACAACTGAGCTAACTGCAAATCCAAAATGATTTTACAGAAGGCACATATGATGTTTTCATCAGTTACACACATATTGGACCATGACAACACGGAAACTAAGCAATTTGGAAAAAGAACCTGTTGGTAACAAAACAAATGTGCAGGATTTAATATGTAATGCTTGGATTTTGTACACACACCTATGTCCAAGACACTGCCCTGTCATACAGCCTCATATGGGGGGGGGGGGGGGGTGAATGCCATGTATTGTATAATCTACTGACATGGCAAAAAGCATGCAAAAAAGGTGGAGAATCAATATACTAACTTACAAAAAAATGATGTTTTGTTTTGACAATGTGTTTATACGATTTCAATTTAAGATTGAACGGTTTAATACTATAGCGGACTTCTTCTTGTAGTCATCAAGAGACAGACATCTCAAACCCTAAACAAATAAAACTCACACTTTCAGCACAAATACAACTTTTGTTTGTTTGTCTTACAATACTGAAGCCTAATTGAAAGTCCTGGCCAATAATTTGAACAATACAAACCGAGAGAAATTCTCCATGCGGTCATGTTGCATCCCACCATCTATTCTCCCCAACTTTCCTCAGGTCTGCATATCTTTGACTAGTCATACATATTTCTAGACTCCAAAACTGAACCATAAGCTCCACCTTAAGATTAAGATGCAATGAGAAAGGAGGTTTTTATATCAAAAATATTACTAAGGTATTATTGTTGAATACATTATTATATGTGTATATTCATAGATAGGGTTGGACTTAGACAGGTAGACTTAAAAAAAAGGTTTCTTGATGCCGTTATCTAAAACAAACAGGACGTCGGCCATTTTGAATTAAGTCTGATCGTTTCAGTTGTTTTTGGCCATTTCCAGGCACCGTACTTTAACAAACGCCTTGTGGATCGACATTATTCAAACTTTATTTCATGGAATGCCCTTTTTGTGGCCATTGTGAGACACTCGCCATGAAACAGGAAGTTGATGTAAATTGAGCATACAAAATGCTCCAAATCTCTTGCGCTTAATAAGAATCCCGGCTAAAATACTTTACAGGTGATATTGAATCATAGTTATAGCGCCACCTATTGGCAACAGGAAGTCAGCCTTATGTGACAAGCATCATCCAAATTAAATGAAAATAACATGACATGAATCAATATAATCTTTTCAAGCAGTGTTCTTTAGTCAAATATAGTGAACACAGGAGGTGATGCAAGAACAGTAAGGAGCGTCTCCAGCCTAATAAAGTGCTAACACACCGGAACACAGGAGGTGATGCAAGAACAGTAAGGAGCGTCTCCAGCCTAATAAAGTGCTAACACACCGGAACACAGGAGACTATGGCCAGTAATCCTGCTCCTGCTCATGTCCTGTTCCAGGTGGAGGAGGATTACGCTCCTGATGGCCTCCTGATGGCCTCGTGATGGCCTCTGATGCTCCACAGTACGTAGATCTGCCTGAGGCGGCTAATCTCATGTCTGCCTCAAAGTTTGACGCTGTGCCTTCAACTCACACATACAACTATCCTACGGCTGGGAAATGATTGAATATGCGGTGATTCCAAAATTTGACATAAGATTCAATCATAGTTATTAGTACCCAAATTGGTGGAGGGGGGGGGGTGGTTAAGTAATTGGCAAAATGCCTACATAGTCATACTTCTACCTACATAGTTGTACTTGGTTATGAATAAGATGTATTTAAATAATTAAAAGTAATAGTTTTCATTATGCACCCTTTTGAAGTGCTATTATTACCATTTTATATTATTAAATCATTATTTTTGAAACAGTGTAAGCAGTAAATCTTGGGGGTGGTACTAATTCTATACTGTAGTTTATTTATAATATTATGTATTCATACACACTTGATAATTCAAAGAGAACAATGGCAATAACGGTAAGAGTACTAAGATAATAAAATACTGTGTTTGCAGCTTTAACAAATCAACCATAAGAAGTGAATTGAATAAATGTTGCCCCTTTAACCTAATTTATTAGGCTATTAAAAAACATAACTATGACAAAGGGATTCCTAAGAGACTGATTAACATGAGCAATATTTTCCTTTTACTGTACGAATACTTCATCCAACAGAATAAACTGTCACTGTTTTAGGAGACAGGAAGCTCAGCATGGTTTACACAATTATTTCTGGTTAAATTGAGCAAATGTTATATTTATCCAACCTTATTTGTATTATTTATTAACACATAATAATATTTAAATCATCATAATGTTCTTTTCATCTCTCACTCCCCCTTCTTTTTTTTTAACAACACTAAGTTCTAGGGAATAGCATGTTAGAATTTAAAAGGGAATAAATGACAAAAGAATGGTTCAAAGCTGTGCAGCTGACTCACAGTCCCTGATATGGAGCTTCAATTCCCCCCCCCCCAAAATGTAGCTCCTTTTTTAATTTGTTGATTGCTATTAATTTATTTAATGTATTTTAGGTTTAACTCATCTTATTTGGTTGTATATGCACTGTAACAAAAATAAATCTAAACATTGACCTACATCTTCCAATGTCCACACCCCCAGTTTGTAAAGCTTCATGTTGTAAGTGTATCAGTACAAGTACAACTTCAACAAGCTGAACGGAACTGACCATGTGTGTGTGTGTGTGTGTGTGTGTGTGTGTTGTGTGTGTGTGTGTTGTGTGTGTGTGTGTGTGTGTGTGTGTGTGTTGTGTGTGTGTGTGTGTGTGTGCAGTGTGTGTGTGTGTGAGTGCAGTGTGTGTGTGTGTGTGTGTGAGTGCAGTGTGTGTGTGTGAGTGAGTGCAGTGTGCAGTGTGTGTGTGTGAGTGCAGTGTGTGTGTGTGCAGTGTGTGTGTGTGAGTGCAGTGTGTGTGTGTGCAGTGTGTGTGTGTGTGTGAGTGCAGTGTGTGTGTGTGTGTGCAGTGTGTGTGTGTGTGTGAGTGCAGTGTGTGTGAGTGCAGTGTGTGTGTGTGTGTGTGTGTGTGAGTGCAGTGTGTGTGAGTGCAGTGTGTGTGAGTGCAGTGTGTGTGTGCAGTGTGTGTGTGTGTGAGTGCAGTGTGTGTGTGTGCAGTGTGTGTGTGTGTGAGTGCAGTGTGTGTGTGTGCAGTGTGTGTGTGTGAGTGCAGTGTGTGTGTGCAGTGTGTGTGTGTGTGTGTGAGTGCAGTGTGTGTGTGTGCAGTGTGTGTGTGTGTGTGAGTGCAGTGTGTGTGTGTGTGTGAGTGCAGTGTGTGTGTGTGCAGTGTGTGTGTGTGTGTGTGAGTGCAGTGTGTGTGTGTGTGAGTGCAGTGTGTGTGTGTGTGTGAGTGCAGTGTGTGTGTGTGTGTGTGTGCAGTGTGTGTGTGTGTGTGTGAGTGCAGGTGTGTGTGTGAGTGAGTGCAGTGTGTGTGTGTGTGTGCAGTGTGTGTGTGTGTGAGTGCAGTGTGTGTGTGTGAGTGAGTGCAGTGTGTGTGTGTGTGTGTGCAGTGTGTGTTACCTTGGCAGCCAGAGAAGAGCTGGGTTTCTCCAGCAGGTCCCACAGCTTCTGCCTCTTGTCCCCGCAGCAGCCCAGCTCCTCCACCTCCCCCTCCTTCTCCCGCAGCGTGTCGGCCTCCCGCCGCAGCTCCTCGTTCATCTGCTCCTTCTTCTGGTGGTAGCGCGCCTGGCAGCAGGACTCCAGGTAGATCTCGTCGATCCCCCAGTAGTCCAGCTCCTGGCCGAAGGACAGGGCGCACATCTCCTCCATCATGTGCAGCTTCCCCGTCCTGTAGAAGTTGAGGATGGAGGAGAAGGCCACCGGGTGCCGGTCGAAGAAGTACTCGTTCTCCGTCAGGCTGTAGTCGTCGCAGATCTCCAGCAGGGACTCGTGGGTGTTGCAATCTCTGAGGCGGCCCAGCCGGGTCCTGGGCAGCCGGTCCAGAGTCCTCCACAGGACCTCGTGTGTGAGCCCCCCGACGTTCAGCCGGACCCTCCGACACCGCGCCTTGATGCGGATGATGTCGATCGGCTCAGGGGGGACCATCGGGCCTGAGGGGGGCCGCGGGGTGACCTTAGGGGTGCTGGAGTTCAACTTGTCTGACATGTTGCCTCTGTGTGTGTCTTACTGTGTGTCTTATTGTTTAGGGTGTGTGTGTGTGTGTGTGTGTGTGAGTCTGGAGCTTGTGAGGCTCAGTTAGAGGAAGGTAGGGGTCTGTCGAGTTCAGACTCTACTCCTAACTCCGGGTTAGATCCATGGCTGCAAAACAAGTCAGAACACAGTCAGTTATTTTTATATTAACACATAACAATATTTAAATATTCATTCTGTGAGTTTCACCTCTCACTGTCTTTTTTTATTTTAAAATGTTATTTATTTTTAAACTACACTAAGTTTTATGAAACAGCATGTTAGAATGGAACATAAGACAAGACACAGAGATATCCTGATTAGTCCCTGATGAATTCTAAATGTCCATTATTTTTTCTCTTTCTCTGTTTTTTTCTCCTTTTTTAATTTGACAATTGTTACTCAGTTATTTAATGTATGTCTCAACTGTTTCTCATTCTGTACATGGCTGTAAAACAAGTCAGAGCAGAGTCAATTATTTTATATAAATGTACTAAATGACGTCAAGAGTCCTCTCAGTGAACACAACATGTAAGGCAACTATTAGCATACTGGGGGGTGTCTGTGGCTCTGAAGCTGCATAGTGGTCCTTCAACAAGGTTGGTGGTTCAATCCCCAGCCCCTGCCGTCTAAATGTCAATGTCTCCATGGGCAAGATTCCTAACCCCATTTTGGCTCCTGATGGCCAACAGTGTGTGAGTGTGTGTGAATGTTAGTCTCACTGAGCAGGTGCACCTTGGCAGCCTCTGTATGAATGAATGGGAAATGCTTCACAGTATGTAGAGACCGGAGCAGTGCTGTATGAGTGCAGGCTCAACAGGTGCCCAGCAGCTCATTTCTGCAGGTTAATCTAGCCATGCCCACTGGATGCTTCAAAAGGACGGGACAGGTCTAATCTACTAAATATCTTCATCAGTGTGCTAAGTTCCAGCCTGCATGTGAGGCTGGGTTTACCGCAGTGAAATGGATGCCACGTCTTTATGTTGGACATGCACACACAGACACACACACACGCACGCACGCACACACACACACACACACACACACACAAACGCACACACACGCACGCGCACAAACGCGCACACACACACACACACACACACACACACACACACACACACACACACACACACACACACACACACACACACACACAGGAGATGTGTTACACTGAATAAACTGAAACATTTGACATGAAATAATAATAATAACAAATTGTCCATAATTGTATTAGGTGAGTGAGTTGAAAGCAATAATATTAAGTTTAAATATCAAATAAAAGGTTAAACTTAATATTATGGCTTTCAACTAACAAATGATCAGTCATTTGTTGACATAATCAGTTTCTTCACTATCTTATAAACCCCAGTTGGTATTTTTAATTATAAGGAATCCTCTCACTAAATCATCTTAAAAAAGACCAGATGTTCTTATGTAATGAATACCAATTGTAACAAATGGAATCTAAACTGCACACTTCTTTTTTTTTTACTTGGAAGCCGTTCTCCTATTGGCCTAAGGGCTTACGTTGCCATTAGAAGTCCTGTGACTGCAGGACCTTTATCTGATTGTGTAATGGAGTTCCACTAAATCCCAGTAGCGGCATTAGGCTTCGTCTCCCCTGGCTCAAGTCTGCCTTAGTTAATTATAGACTGTCTATCTCCTCCCGGGACACTCACAGGACACGGCTACGTAAGGATCCAAGCTGCTAAATCACCTCTGAAAAATCCCTCATCCAGAACCTCACCTCTAAAGAAATGACACATTCATTTCTGTACCATGAAGTCTGAGATGATCATACATAAGCCTAGTTTAAACTTCTCTTTCTTGGGTTTTTAAAACCATGATATACTTAATTGTCATAAATAATTGTGTGTAAAAATGACAGATTAATTGTTTTAACTTTCTTTTTCATGAAACCAGACCAAATGCAGAGACAAGTTAGATCCTGCACATTCAGAAAAAGAGTCCAAAGTGAGAGCTTTCACTTAGTGGTGAAGAGATTAAGAGACTCAGGATTAACCCCTCATTAAGCACCTGAGCCCACGGCAGAAATAAAAAGTACATAGAAAGTGAGCAGAACTACAATTATAATCGTTTTACTACAATTAACGTCCTCAATAAAAGCGAACTTCTAATACTATTTTTGTTAACATTTGAAATGTGTGTAAAGTAAAAGAAAACACCCCACCTGTGTAAAACGCGCTGGTATTTGGGAGAACTCTTGCAGCTCCAGGAGGTCCCACCATAGCACCCGGTCGTTACCCCAGCCGCTGCGCCTGCCCTCCGGCTGCTGATCCGTGAAGCCTCCCGAGAGCACGCAGGCCGCTGGACATCCACATTTTGGGGGGGCGAAAGAGTCAATTTCAGAGAGGAAATGTCCCGGTGAGAGTGTCCACAAAACTGCGCGCCATGAGGGAAACACAGCAGAGACCGGAGAGACACCGACCAGCCGCGAGGAAGAGAGGAATAAAGGGATGAGAGAGGGAGAGGGTGGAGGATGAGGGAGGAGGGGTAATTGGATTGAGGCGTTCAGCACCAAGGGCAGCTCCCCACCAACAGCTTGATTCCACAGAAACTCTCGCGCTCCCTGCGAAGCAATCTAACTCACTGAAAGAAAAATAAATCTTAAGAACAAAACAAACCAATCAGTTGATTATAATAAAGTATTTGAGTGGCCCTCTGGGGAATGGGATCTTAATTCCTGATGTTAAAAATCCTATAAATAGAGATTAAAGGATGTTTTCTGTGTTGTTTCAACTTTTTGAAGAGGATTTATCGTGTTTGAGAACAGACATTTGCACTGTATCGATTTAGAATGTTTAGTTAATAAAAGGGCTCTTCTGTTTCCATGGCAGCTCCCACAGCTTCACACAGGCTGCTCCGTCCAGCTCAGCCGCCCCCCTAGGCCCCGCCCCCCCCAGGCCCCGCCCCCTGTCCTCTGGAGGTGTCAATCCAACCTCAGGCCTCCACACAGAGAAATGTAAATCCAAAGCAATGAGTTTACTTGGCATTTCTTCAGTTTATGAATACAAATTGACCCTTTTAAAAAGTGTATTTCCATTTGGAGACTTTAAATGTTTGCCATAGTATAAATGTATAAGAGCATGAGTCCATATTAAGCTCTTAACAATTATAAATCAGAAAATAAAATGTCAAAGCAAGTGAACAGTCTGTAGCTAGTATTAAGGAATATGGAAACTTCCATTAGATAATGTGTCACATTCTCTATCTCCTCCCAGAGTATCTCACACCGTCCTAGGTTAGCACCCCCTAGCACTGTTTGACACTTACTGTGATCTGATCTCCATCATTACATTACATGACATGTTACTTGTTAGACGCTTTTATCCAAAGCGACTTACATACTCAATACTGTGGACAATCCCCACAGGAGCAATTTTGGGTGAAGTGTCTCAGGGACACAACGACATGCTGACTGCAGTGGGACTCGAACTTGCTATCCTCTGGTTCGAAGATCAGCGCATTAACCTACTGCGCCACACGCCTCCCATCAGCACTCTACAGATAGATTAGTGTCAGAAGTCATATGTCAAATATGCACTATATGCATTAAGAGCATCCATAGTATTATTTATCAAATCAGCTGTTCACCTACTGAACTGTAAAAAATAAGAAAACCAGCAAATAAAAGCAATGTACAGCCCTCAGGATTTCAGATACATGTTGAGGCTATAGGCCTGCAGAATACTAGTCTCTGTTTCAGTTTAACTCATGGATGGAAAGCAAACACCATATTTTGTTTAATAAATCAGGTGTGTTTTAATGTGTGCATTTGCTGGTTCATATATTATTTTAAAAAAGTATTTCCCTTTTAATTATTGTTTAACATTGATCTGATCACACATATTTTATGTAACTATGATGAAACTTTTGGAGCAAGGACTCGGAACACAAGGAGAACACAGGAGAGCTGGAACTGGAAGCTACAGCCAGAGAATTGACAAAGACATTCGCTGCAGCAACCAAGTCACACAGCTCCTGCCTGAACAATTCTGAAGTTCTCTCCCCATCCCAAGTATTTAGCTCTGAGAGAATAATCAACAATCTGCATGACAAGACATAACAAACAAAGCACTATGACTCCTTGTTAATATATATGTGCCAAAGGGGAACACGTCCCCGATAAGATGCACTACCAGATGTCCCTAAATGCAAAACAAAGCTTCTCTTCAAGAGAGTTGCATCCCAAGGTCGCAGGCCTGTGCTCTGCAAGAGCAGTGATAAACTGGGTCAAAGGTCAGGGCCTAGGTAAATATTTCCTCAGCAATACGTGCAATTGATTTTGAATTGAAAAAATAAGGGAACTTAGCAAGCTAGCAGTAGGTACATGTTTCAGGAAGAAGCAAACTCCACAAATCTGAAAAGAACCCCTTAAGAAAGTGGAACCCATAATCAGCTGAGGAGAAAGAGAATGAATGTAAAGGAAGTTTACCTGACTGAACTTACCCTTCACCTCAGTACACTGTGTTACAAGAGTTTGCATTTTCTGCAGACATGTGACCTTATCTAACTGAGAGCATAGAGAGAGCAGCCATGTTAGAGCATCCTGAAAACAGGATGAAATTCAGATTTATTGGTTTTACAAAGTACACAAAATTCCTTCTATATCCATATATCATTTATAGAATGCCTTCCATTATTTGTGCATCATAATGCAGCTTTAACATTAAGACTCAACATTGACAGGTGTACATGCATAATTAAATAAACAGAAAACACATTGGTATTAGAACATATAAAATTGCATAACTCATCCTACCAGCATTTTTATTTTAATAAAAAAGAATTATTACTAAGAAGAGGTTAGACTAGCAGTAAACAGAGAGGGGTGGGTGGGGGGGGGGGTGGGTTCAGTCATTTGAACCCACTTTTTAAAATCAAATTTCATTTTCTATTTTCAGATGGAGAAGCAAAGTCATGCCTTGTTTTCTGAACATAGTGGAGTGCATATAGAAAGTAACGTGGAGGCGGGGCGATGGGGGGGGGGGGGCTGGTCATCATACATCAGAATAATACTGTGGTCCCAAACACAGAAACAATAACACCACCCTGAGCCAAAAAATAAACACAGCTCCAATTCAGAAACACATGAACGAAATGCATAGAAAAGTCTGCGTCCAAATCCTCCAATCGGAATCATCGGAGAACAGCGGAGAGTCAGCGGGGGGGGGGACATGAGAGGGGGAGATAAACCTAAGTATGTACATCCAAACAACAGTAGAGACTATTATTACATCGGTTTGTTGCTTTTTTTCCCCTCCTTCTGCGTCAAGCTCAAGTTTGTTGGTGTGTTTGTGCTGAGGTAACACTCCTCCTCCTCCTCCTCCTCCTCTTCACTTGTGTTCCAGTCGCAGCAGCTGCTCCTTCCCGTTCACGGTGAGTGACCGCAGCTGGCCGTCCTCCTCCACCTCCACCCGCTCCTGACCGTTCTCTATAATTCTGCAAGAAGAGTGAGAGGTAAGCAGCAATGGCAAAATGACACATCCTTCCCTCAAGTTCAGATACTCCAGTTGAAAACACTCTGGTGAGAGTTGAAGTACTGACTAACACACACAGACTGGAATACCCTGATGTGCAACATAACACTTTGTGCAACATTCCCTGGTTGCAATTCACGCTCAATTTCTTTTTCAATCTGTAAACAGTACCAGCTTCTTCAACGGTCGTTTGAAAAAAATACCATGGTATACTGTCATTTTATTTGTATTACATTTGTATTTTTTACTTATTGTGTTTATTGATAACGTGTGCCTACTTTTTTTATATATTATGCCAGTCTGATCTTTTTAATTAATAATTTTCCCCGTTGCGAGACAAATAAAGAAATTCTGATTCAGGAACTTCTTTCCTCAAGTGAAAGTAAATAAGTTTGGGCTTTGAAATGTACTTTAGCCTACTTTCCAGCAGTGTGAACCCGGAAAAGTTGAGTACCACAACGTTTTATGAAATAAATGTATAGTAGAGTCCCCAGCACAGAGAAACTGCCGGATGCTAACTTGCATATATTAGGCAATTTGCACAGATGGTATAAGTTGCATTAATTAGCATAGGCAGACAGTAGCTACAAAATGGCTTCGCTGATTTAGACAAATGTGGAGTTGTTTTGGATGTTATGGAGGATGTCAATTTTATTTCTGACACTTTTAGGATAACAAATTTGAGTCAAATATGGAGACTTTCTAGTTCAAACTTTGGAAATAGATTAAACATCCTCAATAACCCCCAAAACAACTCCAAAATTGCACAAATAGGCCAAGCCACTTTTTAGCTATTGTCTGCATATGCTAATTAATGATAATGAACAAGCCTATTTTGAAAATGTAGGAAGTAGAAGGTACAGGTATTTGTGTTAAAAATGTAAGGAGAACAAGTAAAATGTCAAGAGTGGAGTCAAGTACTGACACCAGAACAATCTACTTAAAGGGGACCTATCATGCAAAATGCACTTGTGTACGTCTTTTAAACATGAATATGTGTCCCCGGTGTTCCAGGGAACTCACCAAGTGTCAGAAAACACAACCCTCTCTATTTTCCTCCATACCCAAATCTCTAAAAAAGGGGCTGCAACGGATCTGATACAAACTGATCCAGATTTGAAAACTCTCTGACGTCAGGACGGTGGCGCTACGGCTATTGGGCCAACTCTCCACCTATCAGGGGAATGTGGGGTTGGGCCACGGCCGGCCATTGCCGCTCGAAAGCACTGGAGACGCTGTAGTACATATGCCAGGCCTGTAAGTGGCGCTGTAGTCTGCCACAAAAGCAGCGAAGAAGACTTCCCGCCCATAGTTACCATGGTTACCCTTCTGTTTATTCTCCGCTGTGGCTTTCTTTCTCCCTCCCCGAGGCAAGCGTTTGCTCCCGCTGCTTTAATTCAATGCAATCCCTCCCCGTCGAGGCAAGCACTGTAATTCTCTCCGGTTAGTCCACCAGCAGATGACAAACACCCACCTCTCCGCCTCTTCCAAGGAACGAGGGGACCGTGCGGCAGAGTTTCAGTTTCAGTTTCTTTCGCCGGTCAAGATGTCCGTTAAAGTTGAAATCTTCCGGACAAAATGAGAAAAGTGCCGGTCAAAGGTCTTCTTTGTTATTTATTGAGCTTTAAAACAAATGAATAACGACTCTATATAATAAAACACGGAGGACGGAGATCTCTTTTTCTCCCCCTCTTCTGACAGCCCAGCAGCTGATCAGAGCACGTCTCCCCTCTCCTGCAGGGGGGCGTGGTCAGCAGAATCAGACCCGTAGACAGCAAACAGCACATAGAGCGAAATGAGGCATTGCTAAAATGCATGATCTGTTTGGTATTTTGAAAACAGAAACGTATAAATATACCTTATATAGGTATGGCCCTACAATATATCATTTAAATATAGCATGATAGGTGTCCTTTAAGTACAGTAACAAAGTATTTGTACTTCAGCACTTCCCACCTCTGGAAGCCGCTCAGCCGTTAAAGGAGTTCAGTTTGGTGCAGACGCAGAATTCCACTGGGAGAACGTTCCATAACAGCTTCATTAGATCATGTCAGCAGCAGCAGAAAGATGCTTGTGTAATATTTCTCCTGAGCCGTGAGTGCTGGAGAACAGCTGTACACTGCTGCCTCCCCCCCCACTTCTCTAGTCTAACCATCCCAGACCCCCAACACATAGGCTCCTCACTGTGACCTTTTCACCTTCTATCAGACAATACAGATGTACCGTCAGACTATAAACAGACAGAGGGACAGAGGTGGGATTTATCCCCTCAGTTATGACCTCCAGATGTTTCTTTTAGTAATTGCATGACCGAGTGAAGTGGAAGAAGTGGCGTCACAGTGTTAGCCTTTTGATAATGACTAAATATTCAGAGTCTCCTGAACATGCTTTGTGTTGTATATGACCTGCAGGGTTTCTTTCTGTGCTTGTTTTGATGCATTTTCAGCTAAGTTCTTTGTGCCACATGTGTAACCTTTTCCTGTCCTTCTCATATTATTCAACAATCAGCCTCCATCCACCGCATTGATTAGGCTATACCTTTTAAAGCCAGTTGCATCGAGGGAGAGCTTTCTTTTTGTATTTTTAGTAGCATTTAAGTTGTTTCCACATTAGGATCATGATTATCTTCTCTATTTCTATTCTATAGATTGCTCGTTTTCAGTTTAGTCATTATTTCTGCAATACTGGATAGACTTTATTTAGGTCTGTCACCTCACTACCTGCTCAACGTCTGTGGACCAGTGCTGCACTGATGGCAGATTTTTTAAATGTACTTAACCTCAAAACAAAAATGCATAATAGATTTGATCCTTTAAAAAATATATAATAATTGTTTGTATCTTTGGTAAAATCTATTTGTATTCTCTCTTTATGTTGTCAGTCCAGAGTCCCAGCAGCCTTAATCCTCCGGTGTCATGGTTACCTCTTAGTGGTGATCTTCCTGCCGTTGATGATCTTCGTGGAGGTGGACACAGAGCGGAAGTTTCCCATGCCTCCTCCTCCTCCTCCTCCTCCTCCTCCTCCTCCTCCTCCTCCTCCGAAGGAACTGGAGGAAAACGAGGTGAAGCCTCCACCTCCCAGGCTGCCCATGGTTGTCATGTGACCCATGGGCGCCATATGACCCATGGGGCTCATAGAGCCGAAAGAACCGAAGCCTGAGAGAAACAGGAGAGAGAAAGTGTCATTAGACAGGGGACAATAACAGGGGCTGTCTGTGTTTGAGTCATTGGTGCAGGTCCTACCTGGGTCAAAAGGTGAGAAGCCAGCACCAAAGGGAGGAAAACCAACAAAGCCCCCGAAGAACGAGCCGCCTGTCCGGCTGCGATGTCGCTGACTGTGGTGCCGCCGACCGCCGCTGAAGAACGGATCCTCACTAAACGGATCTGCACCTGAGAGACAAGAAGCAGCAGGAGAGAGAGGGTTACAGAAGGATAGGGATAACTCAAAGTGTGGTGCAGGAATGAGTCCGAAAAGCCGGAAATTAGTTAGCATTTCAGCACTTCATTTAAAGGTTTTTTTGGTTAGAAGCCTGAAATTAGATCGGTGGTTAACACAAGCTGAAGAGATTTTCACATTTATTTCTACAATATAACATATGTCAGTAAATACCCCACTGGTGAATGTCTGAAGCTTCGATGTGTCATAAAAACAGCTAACAAGTGACTGAATGAGACAAATGTCATCACGTCTGACATTAGCCGCCTTTAGCTTAGTGGGGATGGGGTGCAGTCATGTGATCGTGAAGTAGCTTGTGTATAGCCCAACGTTAGCTTTCTACTTTTTGAGATCGCATTTACGCTTCAAAATGATAAATTGTTGTTAATATGTGGAGAGTATCCTGCCAAACAAAACGTGTAAGTATCATGAACATGTGTTTTCCACAGATCTTTTTTTCAGAAATCCCATTGCTTTTCGGCGAGGGATCTCTTCCAATGCTAACTTCTGGGTCGCCTCAGAAAATAACGTCACTGCAACCTCTTCAATAGATATCACCATTTAATTTCCCCTACCGATTACTTTCATTAGACAATTACTTTTAGTATTCAAATATTTTCTGAAGTGTTATTTAATATAAAGTTGAGGCACTTCCTTTATTAAATATGTGCACATTTGCAAACACACTTCCAGAGCATAAATCAGGCCATCATCGATGTTTGAATGAAATTCTCAGTAGAAAACTTCTGAATATAAACAGTAATGAAATTGAAGAGTTTGCTGTACTTTCAGGGAATGAAGTAGAAATCCACAGAAATAACACCTTCATTGGTCATTCTATGTATTCTGTCATGTTATGGAAGCAAACTGTTCAGACTGACTAGTTCATGAAGAGTCACCAAGGGTCTCCATTTTAGATCAATCACAACCGATGCAGGGGATGAGGAAGATTCTGATGAATGCTGAACATGTTCTGATCTGCAATTAGGTCAAACTTCTAAAGTGGAGATGTAATAATGGGACTTACCAAAGAAGTCAGCAAACGGGTCTCTGCCTCCAAAGAATTCCCTGAAGACGTCGTCTGGGTTTCGGAATGTGAACGGTTCTTGGAAATGATTTCCGTTGTGGAAATGCCCTCCTGAAACATGTCAATAAAAACTGATGTAAACAGCACGAACAGAACGAGACGAAAACATTACAAAATGCGTTCAATAGTGCCAGGTCAGCATTTATTTGCAGCATTCGGACCCATCCAATCCATTATTGTTAATCAGTTTATTTTCCTTTTTCTTCTGATTTGTGAATTTAGTAATTGAATGTTTTTTGTTTTAACTGTATCTCATCTTGTTACGTTTGCCCTTTAACCAAATCATTTCTTTCAAATAAACAAGAAAACATTTTTTGAAAAAGTGCTACAAAAGCTGACTTCCAGTTAACACACTGAGTTTTGAAGAAGTGACACATGTGTAGTTTTGTCGTTGGCAAGAAATGTTGAAGGACAAGCGATAAACATTTCATGGTCACTAAATATCTTCAGACACATGAAGGTTTCAGCTGTAGTCACCTGGGGCCTCATTTATAACGCCTTGCGTAGGATTCACGTGGGAAGGTTGCTTACGTAGTACAAAGCAAAAAAATAGGTACAGAAATGTTCTGACATTTTCCCATTCACAAAACATTGCGTACCGGCGAGGGAAGTGCGTACGGCACTTCCTACGCCTGTTTCCCTTTATAAATCACAATCGACTCGAAATGCGGCGCAGCTTTTGCAGGCTTCCCGTCACACCCATATTTGCCCATAAATAGTCATTGATACGCCCATAATGAATATTCATCAAACCGGTTTCAGGCAAAAACGAACATGGCAAAGACAGAAAAAACAGGCAAGAAAAGAAACTTCAATAACTGTGAAGTTGAAATCCTTGTCGGAGAAGTAGAAACAAGGCAAAACAAACCCATGCAAGCTTTTTTAATCACAGAAACGTATATAGTTGCACACCGAGGTGTGCCCGTCACCAGACGCACAGGATAGCCTACCTCAGATGTAACGTAATGTTCTTCCCTTTTTAGAAATGATAGTAAACCGAGTGCAATTAAACTGGGTTTGCACATGTATGTACAAACAGTTGGGGCTTTGTTTACAAACGTGGTTTGTGTTCCAGCTGCCAATCAGAGGCCTGTACTACGAAGCCGAATTTTCTCTTAGCCGGCTAACTTCAGGGAAAACTCGGGGTTTCCGGTCCTACGACGCTGGGTCTCTTTTTAGCGGGCTAGATCTCCATGGTAACTTATGCTGAGCGGCTAGCCTGGTCCGGAGCAGGTTAGGTTGCAGGCTAAGAGATCAACTCAGTGAAAGCACCGCCTGCTGACCAATCAGAGCTCAGTGTGCGGAGTTTAAAGCGATCAATTCATATTACAGGATAGAGGAAATACAGAAAAACTGCCGTTGCAGGAAAGACGGCCGGCAAAAATCAACTGACTGTGTGAACGTGAAGATTAATAGAATATCCCCTCCCATCTTCAGAGCAATCTGACTATTATAATATTAGCGTTAAGAAAGCTTACTTAAATATCTGCCACGACATAAGTAACCAGATCAGAGTAACATTAAGTACAGTCCGCGGCACTGTGAGTGCAGACGTCGATGTGTGCCATTATCATTCATATCACATCATAATGTATCATATATTTCCTTATCTGAGTCAGCTGAGCCGTATCTGGCCGTGCAACACTCACAGTGTCACATACTGTATGCAGAAGTATTATTTTAAGCAACACATTAAGTTGACGAAACACTCGAGTCAAATGTAATTAAAGTCAGATCCACTCGTGTCTTAGACGGGGCAGCAGTGATATCATAAACCTGTTAATGTACGCATTCAAACACTTTCTCTGTTACCAGCTGTATTCACCTTGCAGGTGCAGCTATGTGGCTTTGATCCTGGATAAAGTGTTTAAGTCATGGATGTTTAAAGTTTAACTTCTTCATATTTGACAAATATTAAAGTTCACTTTTCATTCAGGAAGTATGACGCTGCGCTGTCAGTACGCTTGTCCATGTTTGTGATTGGTCGAATGCTCCAAATACAACCCCTTTCATGTGAACGTGCACCTAACTAGATAGGACACGGCTGGCTTGAGCAATCCACTTGATAACCCGCGTCGTAGGACCGCTTAGTGAGAGCGCGTATGTTTTGGATTGGGCCAACCGGCTAACTCCAACATATCCAGGTTAGGTTGAACCAGCTTCGTAGTACAGGCCTCAGCTGTGCGCAGCGGCTCCACTGCACCATGTGTGTCTCAACGCCACCGCAATAACTCTACCCACCACTTAAATGAAATACAACTAATGTGTTGTGTTATATTAGCTGTTTACCACATATGGTGTTCTTAGTTTCCATACCTCCTGTGTTTTACGAGCGACTTATCAAGTCTTGGCAAACGGCATAAAACACGATTAAACGTGATAGTATATAAAACCATGCTCGTATCTACAACCTATAGAAATGCAAAACGGCGTCAGTTTAGACGTTATTCTGTCCTCCTGCTTACCGCATCATTTATGAGAAAACATTTCATAACATTAACACAACATATTCGAGGTGGTTTTAAATAACATATCCGTATTTATTTATTTCTCCAAGTTATGTGTTTGTGTGCACTGAGGAGTCTCAAACAGGCGTTTGTTTCATCATTTAAAGATTGGCTTTAATCAATGTTTGAAAATGAATTCTTCATATTTGATAAATGAGAGGTAACATTTTATTTATGGTATTATTTCCACATATTTCTCTCCATTCTTCCTTCTGCCAACGGTGTCGCAGTTTCTCGTCTCTCCCGTTGTTGTGCTTAGTGCGTACGCATGGGTTAGAGTTTGCGTGGAGGACCGCACATTTTCCCGTCAAGTTAGTATTTTATAAATCGCAAACATTGCGTAGAAACTGGCGTACGCCATTTTTTGAGCGTATATCACTTTATAAATGAGGCCCCTTGAAAGGATTCATACTTAAGTAACATGTCATGCTTTTGATCTGAATCAGAATTATATTCAATATTCATCTAGGGAAAATATGGGTTTGAGACTGTTGCTAAATGTTTAAATCAAATAGAAATACATTTAAAAGAAGAATGAAATGATAAACACAAATGAGTTTGAGTAAGAATGTGCAACAGGAAGATAAGTTTAAATAAATATCATTTTATAAAAAATAAGAATTTAAAGTATGACCAGTCAAATAATAATAAATAATAATAATAGGGTAAACAAAATAGAAAATAATATTTATATAAAAGGTAAAAAGTCAAGTTAAAATGTGCACATTGTATAACATTTATAAAATGTATATTACAATATCTACAGTGGTTGATTAGTATTACAAATATATAAATAAAACTTAAGCTCCCCAGTTGTTTCCACACATAGGAAAGGATAGATTGATGTTTTACCTCTTCCTCCATTGTTCCCTGTCAGCCCCTCTTTGCCATAGCGATCATAAAGGCTCCTCTTGTTGACTGGAAGGGGAAATGAAAAGTGTTAAAGTAGAAAACAGACCAGTGAGCAGTCAGAAACATGAAGAGTAGATGAGGAGGGAGAGGAAGTGCATGTGATCAGGCATCTGTTCAGAGCTGAGGTACAAACCGTCTGAGAGCACCTCGTACGCCTCTGACAGCTCCTTGAACTTCTTCTCTGCCTCGTCCTTGTTCTCGGGGTTTTTGTCGGGGTGCCACTTCAAGGCCAGCTTTCTGTAACTACACCAAAACAAAGAGAAGATAACAACAGCTTAATAAAGCTCCACTGAAACCACTAAATACTGGGTTTTCTGTGCCTTTAGCTAGACATCATGACACATACTGTGTATCGCTCATCTGCAGTATGTGTGTTATTTGGTTGAGTTATTACTGTTCATATGGGATGTGAAACATTGTAATTCAATAATTACATTAAGTTTCTAATATCACTCAAACATATTGTCAATACTATGTGCTGTGATGAATGTTTTTACTATAGAAAGTCTAGAATGCCGACAAACATTTACTCAATGACCATTAAGAGTCATGTGTATGTTCTCACTTTGTTGAAAAGCATTTCAATTGTGAGGAACGCTCAGGAAAGATTGCAGTGATTGAAGAGCAGCAAAAACAAACACAAAAGCCTTTTTATTAAACGCTGCACACGTGTTGTCAAGTCGGTGAAGATGTTTCTTCATTTGCATGTGTTTTAGAACATTTGTATTTGCATATTTGCATAGTTTTTGGAACTGCAGTACATTCTTCTTGATGTAAATGAGTTGGGCCATTGTAGCACACCGTATTAGCAACATCACAGATTAAACATAGCATTTTAAACTTGATCGACTCACGCTTTCTTTATGTCATCTGCAGACGATTCTCTCCGTACTCCTAACACCTGGTAGTACTCCACCATGATTAGGGGTAAAGGGAGAAACTTCAGGGAGCTGAAACACAGAGACAGATGAGATGATTACCAGCCACTATGGTCAGAGTCCTGGATGGAACATTCAGAACAGCAGAACATCACCTGTGTTAATCCAGAAGGGACCATTATATTCTCATGACATCTTTACACCGTGAATATATATACTGTATGTTATGTTTTTACACAATACATATTAATACATTGATCTTGCCAAACAGGGCTAAAATATGCTGAGGATTAGCGACATGCGTGAAAAACATATTTGAGTTCCGAATTTTCTCTTTTTTTCAATAATTATAATATTGTTTAGGGATGAAAGGAAACATTTTAAAGAGTTTGAATAAAGCAGATGAATTCTGAATATAAACATAGAATTTAAATTTGTAAAAATGTAATTGGCCCTAATCCTCTTAAGTAAATATGGGACACAAAAAGAGACATTATACAATAACATAATAACAAAACGGCACTTTTGACCCTTTTCAATTTAACTAAGCATCATTTGGATTCCGAGCGACTTGCTAACATAGACCATTGCGTAACACATTTTATGTTTAAAAAAATATTTTTGTTGATATTATCAGTGATATTTTTCTCTATCTATCAGTTTATTTGACAAGGGCAATGTATAGTAAAAGGTTACAAAAACTCAACGCAGATGTGGTGCTTGTAGAGTTTCTTATTTGAGACCCTTGTCCCTGGTTAGACTTACCAACTATCATTCATACTGGTTTCAAACATAAAGAACCACTCGCCTTACATTACAAGTACAAAGTTGATGTTTGAAGTACAACCACATTTTGGGTTGTGACCGTTCCATATTGAGGAATGTCTCTGAGCACCTCCTATCACAGGAAGCCTTTGTCTCCGAGCTGTGAACAACGCTCTCCTCTCAGATTCATTCTAAAATGCATTCACATGGTTATGTGTGGTTAAGTGTTAAACAAAGGCTCCTTTGTAGTTCCTGGTAAATAACAGGGCCTCAGCCAAAATCCTGCCGGATTTGAAAAAGTTAAACACTTTTTCAAATAAGTAACTGAATTACTTTATAAGTAATACAAAGTTATAACAACTATAAACAAAACTCTGGTAACATTTGAAAAGTGCACTGGTCAACTGCATGAGGACATATGTTGTTCATCAAGTTATTATAGATTTGGTAATTCATTAAACTCACTCACTTTCTATTTGCCATATATACAAATATAGCCACTATAATACTGTTCTAATGAAAAGGCTCATCAGTGCACTATGGTCCACTTACACATTAGCTCATGCATTTAAACATTAACGTTTAAAGAGTTTAGATCCAATTGTTCTCATACAGACAACACCGGGACTAGGGCTACAGTTATTTGGAATGGAATCAAAATCACAATGTGGGCTGGTGCAATATGAAAATTGCAGGAAGCACAGCAAAATATGTAAGAATAGTAATCGGAATTAAGCATTTTGGGGCTATTAGATGTCCCTGCCTTCAAATCGTATTCTACGACTTAATAAAACATACATTATTGCTATAGATTCTATAAAAAATATCACAACATGATGATTGATATAACTTTGAATGATAATGAGAATAATGATGTAGAAATTATCAATCCCTCCAATATCATGAATTATATTGCAAATAAAATGTGAGTAAAAATAATAATATCGTAATTAGCTTCTTTTTTTAAACATTTAATTATGCATCCTAATTGTACATTATTATGAAAATTGAAGGCTCCGATATCATGGTGAATTACGTTTTTTATTATGTTATATATATATATATATATATATATAACAGCACTAACATGGAGTTATTACAGGAAGCGAATCTCCTAAAACATTCGGTTTGTCTTTCTTACTAGCAGTTTGTAATCCATGCCGCTCTCTGCAATGAGGATGCTCCGTTTTATATTGTCTACCAACCGCTGTTAATGACAATAGCAGTGCTGCTGATTGTTGGGACCCCCCAGTGCTCTGTAAAGAGGAGAGAACTACGTCTCTGTGCTATGGTGCATCACTACAGCACATCATTGTATGGTCAGATACTTCGTTAGCATTAGGACTTAACGCCTCACCGAGCAGCGGTAAACTAACGGCCACACAGCGCGGTGCAGCTGGAGGAGAGGCTAGCTGTTTATCTCTCCGTGACCCTGGCTGCTGCTACCCGGCACACAATAAAGAAAGAGCCAGGAACCGTGGCGTTTACGGGGAAAATGTATATAAAGGGAATGTATAGTATGTCCAAAATTCCGAAGTGAAGCATCATTTCTCGCTGAAGCTGTTTTTGTTTGACGTAGCGTATGTTAGCTGCTCACTTTAGCGAACCTAAAGCTGGTTACAGGGGTATTTGAGCTCGGTAAACATCACTAGCCACATTAGCTCCGCTGACAAACACTCTTACCCAACTCAAGTCCAGCTGTCCGTGAATTCAGAAGATGTGCAGGTCAGCCAGTTTGTCATTTAGGTTGAGTCAGATGCTAAACAGGTTTATTCATGTTCAGCAGTCTGCAGGTTTTCAGATTAGACGCAACGTCCTGTTTCTGAATTCATCTTCTTCTTCTTCTACGGTCAGTTTAACGGCAGCTTTGCATCATTTGTGTTGCATTGCTGCCACCTGGTGGAGCTTTTTAGCTACTATATCGCCCACTGTTGGTTTTGAAAGAAAAGTATGGGTTACTATGTCTTGTTTTTGACAGAATGTTGGGCTACTCTTGAATATCTTTCCACTATTTTAAACCCAACCGCATTTCGAATAGTAATCCCCCCCCCACCAACCTAAATAACCTATACTTTCAGGAAACAATGATTCATGATTATTAGGATACAAAGCATATCTTGCTATCCAATATGTATTTACATGCCACAACCAAAGGGCCAGTGAATGACACACACCCACACACTTATTTAAAAAGTACATATTTTTTGTCGATGTGGAATTAATTTTCACATTATCATTATTACTGTGTACTTTTGATGCTTTGGCAACACTGTTACCTGAAACTTCCTTGTCAATAAACCCTGACTGAACTGACACTAATGGGTTCACAGTGCAGTATAACATAAAGCACAAATAAGATAAAAGGCAAAACTTTACTGAATTCCTCATAGCTGATGATATGAAGCCATTAGTGAGTCTAAATATGGCATGAATACCTTGGACAGCTCCCACAACCATGGCTGGCCCAGGGTCAGAACCTTGGACAGCAAATATGACATGATTGATTTGCCATAACAAATGGCAATTTGCCATAACTGCAAAAAAAATCCCATGTGAAACCCATGTTATTACAAGTGAAACCCATGGGAACACATGTGAAACCTATGTTATGAGGTGTCAAACCCATGTTATTACATTTGTAAATTAATGTAAAGTGCATGTCAAATCTTGCATGTAGAAGTACACTTGCATGTACTTTTGAGTAGATGTGTGAACAAAGGAAAACGTAGTAGTACTTGCATTTTCTCTAAAACAGTGTAACCAATAAAAAACAAATCTATGTATGTCATTTGTACATACAAATTGGAAATTGAGTAATCAGCAATTCCTCATGCCAAAACAACACACTCTCACTCCATAAACGTCCAGGAGCGACGCTTGGTCAGGGTCCCGTGGCGTGCAGTTGGGACGCGCCGAGGCTGATTGATTGATTGATTGAAAAGTTTATTAACAGCTTGTATATTGGGTACAGTACAGTACAGCTCAAAACATACAATTGTTAAGGGGATGCAGACCAGAGAAAGACTTTCGTCTTGTTTACATCAGGGTCCCCCATTTCCAATTCATCATATCATTTAAGACATATAAGACATATTTGACATACAGATGGCTTATTTACAATTTACATACAGGTGGTTTTTTACATACAGATGGCTTATTTACAATTTTCATTTTAGATTTCGTTCTAATACATCCTAACCGGACATTTAAGACATACCAAGTCTACAGATATACAGTTAGTAACAGAGTCTAAAATGCGAGTATATACATAGATGGGGGGGGGAAGCTGTCCATTGTACGACAGGTTGAGATTTGTACCATTACCGGGGCCAGTTTTGCAATGCTTTCCCCCGAAGGTGCTCTTTAAGAGAGGTTTTGAAGGTAAGTATAGTTTTACTTTCCTTTACAGTTGTGGGAAGAGCGTTCCACCTTGATGTGGCATAATTGCGAAACGTGTATTCCCCTTTTTTTGTGCCAAATCTGGGTTTTACATGATTTGTGGAGCTCCCTCTGGTGTTATGATCATGGTATTCCTTGACCTTTGGGAAGAATTTTGACATGTACATGGGTACCATAGAGGTGTAGTGGATCTTGTAGACCAGGCCCATTGCAAGTAGCTGTACTCTGTCGTCTACTCTAAGCCATCCTAGGTTGTCAAAGTGGGCAGAGGTGAGGTGGGTTCTAGATGAAAGGTCAAGCAGTAGTCTGACCAGTTTATTTTGCGATGTTTGAAGTTTTATTTTTAGCGCCTTGGAGGTGCTATGGTACCATGACGTGCAAGCATAGTCATAGTACCCTTGAATGAGTGCTCCTGCCAGAGTTTTCAGGGTGTTTTTGTTTACCAGAGAGGAGATCCGGTATAGGAATCTAGTTCTTTGATTGACTTTTTTTATTACATTGGATGCCATTTTGTCACAGGAGAGGTTTGCCTCAAGAATAGATCCTAGGTATGTAATTTCCTTCTTACTTGTGACAATAATGTCACCCACTGCAACTGAGAAGTCGTCGGATTTGCTGAGATTATGTTTCGAACCGAAGAGAATGGACTCTGTTTTACCCAGGTGTAATGATAATTTATTATCGGCGAGCCAGGTGCAGATTCTGCCGAGCTCGGAGCTGAGGGTTTTTTCAACCTGCAATCTGCTCCTGTCAGAGACCAGCAGGGCTGAGTCGTCCGCGAACAGGAACAAGTTGCAGTCACATGCTGATGACATGTCATTTGCATAAATTAGGAACAGTAACGGACCTAATATGCTTCCTTGTGGAACACCACAGCTCACTGGGAGGGGGGGGGACAGAGTACCGTTTACCTCCACCATCTGTTCTCTCCCCTCCAGGTAGGATTGCATCCAGCTCACCGATAGTTTATCAAAACCAATTGCTTTTAGCTTGTCAATCAGAATGGGGTGATTGACAGTGTCGAAAGCCTTTTGTAGGTCCAGCATCACCATGCCGCAGTATTTACCCTCGTCCACCTCTTGTTTGATGTGGTCGTTCAAATAAAGAAGGCATGTGTCAGTGGAGTGGGATGTTCTAAAGCCAGATTGAAATTCATAGATTAGTTTCTTTTCTGCGAGGTACTTTTCGACCTGTTCATATACTATTTTTTCCATGACTTTCGAGATGGAGGTAAGTATAGAAACAGGGCGGTAGTTGCCTGGGTCCAATTTGCTGCCCTTTTTGTGCAGGGGGGTTACTCTTGCAATTTTGAAGTCTTTGGGTACTTTTCCCTGTTTTATGGAGAGGTTAATTATGTGAGCTATGACTGGTGAGATGGCGGTTGCTGTGTCTCTGAGGAATTTGGAGGGGATATTGTCGTGGCCAGTGGCCTTGTTAGGTTTGAGGGCGCTCAGTTTAATGAGTACCTCTGCTGTTGTTACCCTTGCTAGACTGAAATCATCTTTGCGTACCCCTAGGTTTTTGTAGTAGGTCATGATGTGATCTACTCCAAAAAGCCCTGAGTGGGAGGGTAATTTATTTACAAGAGTTGTGGCTATGTTTGTGAAAAAAATGTTCAAGTACTTGGCCACATCCAGTTTGTCTGTGATGAGCCTGTTATCTGTCTTTATGTTTACGTTTGAAAATCTCGTTTTGAGTTTTTTACTGCAGCCAAGCTGGTTATTGAGTAATTTCCAAAGTTCACGGGGTTTATTTTTGTTTTCCTCAGTTTTGTCATTGATGAAATTCTTTTTGGCAGTTTTGATCATGGAGCTTACGTCATTTCTTAGTCTGTTTCTTTCAATTTTTAGTTCAGTCACGTGGGCCTGGAGTTCACTGCTCGTGCTTTTGGAAAGCATTGACTGACTTTTATGAAACTCAGAGCATTTTTTGTCTCTGGTTTTCATGGCGGTCAGTATGCCGGAGTGCATCCACGGCTCAGCGCGATTTTTTACCCTGGTTGTTCTTAGGGGGGCCAAATCATTGAGTATTGCAGAGAATTTGTTTTTGAAACCAAGCCATGTTTCTTCAACTTGTGTACCACTGAGCTCATCTGACCAGTCCAGGCTCTCCAGTTCTAGGTTAAAGGCCTCGCTAGAGTAGTTTTTGAGGTCTCTAGATATGACTGTTTTGTGACAGCCGGCCTTTTGTTTTAGCTTTTTGCGGGTACAGAATATCATATAATGATCACTTAAACCGCATGCTATAACCCCTTTACTGGAGATCCTGGACCTGTCAGAGGTCAGAATGAGATCAATGGTAGTTTGTGTTGTTTCACATACCCGGGTGGGTTGGGTGATTAGCTGGCTGAAGCCGTGCAGATCACAAATCCTACTGAAGGACTTGAAGACGGACGTGTCTTTACGTTGCATATCCGTGTTCCAGTCTCCAATAATAATTGTCTCTACATCCCCCACATCAGCCAAACACCCATCTAATGTATCATAAAAGTCACTCTGTTCCGGTGGTCTATAGATTGTCCCGACTATTACAGATTTAGCATTGTCAAAAAGAATTTCAACCCACACAGATTCAATATTTTCATGATGCAGGTCAGTACGGTTTTTGAAATTGGTGTCTTTATGTATGTACATGCAGACACCACCTCCATTCACGTTCCTGTCCCTTCTCACTACAAGATAATCTTCAATTTCAATCTCTGAATCTGTAATGGAATTGTCCAATTTGGTCTCAGAAAAGCATAATATGCTTGCCTTACCGTTCATGAACAGTTGCCTGAGTTCAGCCAGTTTGTGTCTCAGGCTGTTAGTGTTCAGATGAAAAATATGTAGTCCATTTTTGTTGTTTAAATGCATAATGTCGTCAGCTTGAAGATATTTGTCTTTGTCCGTTACAGCAAACGGCTTGCGGCCTGCCGTGGTGCTTGGAGCGGTGGGGTGGTGGGGGGAGGGAGGCTCCGTTGTAGCTTTAGCCGTCGATATGCTAGCAGGGTGGCTAACAACATGGTGGATATTTGTTCCCTCGGATCTCGGTTCTCTTCCTCTCGTCACTGCCTCATGCGTGTCTGTCTGCCGAGGCGTCCCCGGGGGAATGTCGAAGTCTCCGTTGATTCCTCGGTCTCCGCTGTCTCCATGGTCTCTGTTGTCGTCGCGTAGTTGTTGCTGTAGCGGAAGAGATGCTAGTTGTGATGCTAGTTGTGATGCTAGCTCCTCGAGCCTGCAGGAATGGCTTCTTGTCTGCACCGGGCCCGGATTCAGATGGATGTCTCCCGCTAACAATAAGACCAAGACGATCATACTTCTTCGGTCTAGTTTGCCTGACGGGGGTAAGTACTTTCGCGTCGGGTTTGCAGTTAATAATGCATGAATGCTTGCACTTCCAAAAGCGAGGTGTTTCCTTTCCCAGCCGTTGAGAAGGTAAAAGTCATTGTGGTTCATTTTATCCCTGCGAA